TTTTGCTGTTTGTGCTGTGACACAATGGTTATCACAGGGATTCCTGGCATGCCAGGTTTAAATATACAAGCCCTGAGCCTGGCAATGTGCTGACACTTTACAAATTCATATCATTAAATCATCCCCTAAAACCCTAGGGCTAGATAGCCTCATGTGGCAGACAGGACAAAGTTGTCTGGAAGGATAAAAACCTCAACTCAGGCCATAAAAACTAGATCTCCGATCCATGTGCTTACCTTGCCCCTCTGGGAAGCAGTGAGGTCAGCGTCACAGTTATCACAAAGTTAGGGTTAGGCACCAGTCATCACAGATCCTTGTTTTCCTCTTTAACCACCTTGTTAATTCAAATATAATTAAATTCTATGACAGCTACTGAGTATAACTCCTTACACAGCAGATTTAAATCATTATAATTTCACACTATGCTCCATGCCTGGAGACGTTGCTACCCAGCTTGACAAGGGAAGAAACATAAGAAGCTATAACCACCCTGTAAAAATCTAACATTGAAAGATGGCCACAAATCACAGGGTTCCACACAAAGGCATGGATTTGAAAGAAATAAAAAACTACAGGTTTTTCTATTTTCTGCTCAAATCTCTATTGTGTGCAGAAGCAGATTTAAGTGGCATAAATCAGAAAATGATAATGGGAACTGAATGAAATTGTCATAAATCACGTTACTAAGTATAGTTACATCTTAGATGTAAAACCCAATTAAACAGATGGCCACATGCTGTCAGAATCAGCCCCTAATCAATAAAGATGTTCATTTTAGAGAATCACCTCAATTTTTCACTTCTTCAGTGAAGCAAAAGGAAGGCAGTTGTAGGGTGGGGGAAGTCCCAGGAAACCCAGTGGGGAAATGTGCAAGAAGAAACTTCACCTGTCTTAATTTTTAGTCCAGATAATCAGAAAGGAGTGAAAAAAAAAAGTCACCCAAAGGATTCCTTGTCATCTTGCCTGGGAATGTAATTTACAATGAGAGCAAGCAGTGGTCATTAGGAAAACAGAAACAGCTTGAATCTCTTAATTAAAATACTGTTTCAAATTGTTCATTTTTAAAACCCCTCTGCCCATAAGCTTTCACGAAACCACTGCGTTACCCTGAAATGGCTTCTTCCGCAGTAAACCTCTGATAGGATTAGCCCTTCCCAGACAAGAAGAAGGCGAGCAGGGGTGAACCCTGGAGATGGAACTATTATTAGACACACTTGAGTCCCCCAAGGAGAAGTAAGCCTTCACTGACATTTTAAAGTGAATGTAGAAACAATGGCTTTTCTTGCATAAGAGCTGATCTCTTACACTCACTAGACTGGTGAAAATTAAGTCTACCGATGCCGAGAGTTGATAAAAATGAGGAAAAACAGAAACACTTCTGGACTTTAGAACACTAGCTTTGGAAAACATCTGATGTTATCTGGTAGATAACTTCTTCCTACCAGCCAAGAATTCCACTCCTGAGTGTATATTCTCAGATACTTGTTTCAAGAAATATTCACAGGAATATGCAGAGCAGCACTGTTCATAAGCAAAAGCCTGGCTGCGGGGACACATAGGTCAGACAATAGAAAAATAAACAATCTGGGGGTACAGTCATGAAATGAAATATTATACAGCAGTGAACATGAAAACAACCTACCACCACATGCTACATGGGCGAATCCTAAAAACATGTTGACTGAAAAAACACAGTTAAGATTGTATACAGTAAGATGCCATTTTTATTATACTAAGAAACAAGTAAAAATAAACAACATGTTGTTTAGGGATACCTATATAAATAAAGTTTTATTTTTAAAAAATCAACACTCAAATCACAAGAGTGTTACCTCTGTGGTGAGAGGGAGGGATGGTTCCTGATTGGGTGAGGGCCTCATAGGCACACACTGATTTTGTCATGTTTTCATAAATTCTTTATAACTTACATGTGCCAAAATGCTACATATGTTCTTTCGCATGTAGCAAATATTAGACAGTGTTTTTAGGTGAATAAACAATTTCTATTACCCAATATTCTAAATGTTATTATAATTAATAATATATTAAATTGTTGTATTACTTATAATTAATAACTCACATATCATAAGTTCCCATATAAGATATGCAACTTAGTTTTCAAGTTGGCATTTAGGACCTTAAGAAAGCAATGATACTTTCATGATAATGAATATTTATATAGTAAGAAGTGACATTCAAAATATTTAACAACTTACTTGGTTATGTAAATTAATGTATAAATAAAAAATTCCCACCATCTGCTTGTCTTCCTCCTTTCTGTTCATTTCTGTTGGGCAGAGACTGCCATTCCTAATAGTGGCCACACGAGGGCGGCTCTAAGAAGGTGCGCCAGTTGGTAGTGAGCAGCCACAGCCTTCGGGCTGTCCCGTCTGCCCAGAGTCCTGTAGGAACAACAGCTAGTATGGAGGACCCATGACAGACTGGCCGACTGGCCAGAGGGAAGGCAAGATGCCTCACTGAGAAGGTCGTCTGGCCTTTGAATAAAGATTTGAAGGAAATGGGAGCATAAACCTGGCAGGTCACTTGGGGAAGTTTTCCAAGAGAAAGCGAACCCCAGGTATAAACCCGTCAAGAGCAGCGCATGTCAGATGTGCTCTACAAACACAAAGGAGGCCAGCGTGGCTGGAATAGGAGGAGGAAGGAAGGGGGAAAGCAGTAGGAGGCACAGGCAGAAAGATCACAAGCCTCAAGGCCATTATAAATAATTTGGCTCGGCCAGGCACAGTGGTTCAAGCCTGTAATCCCAGCACTTTGGGAAGCCAAGGTGGGCAGATCACCTGAGGTTGGGAGTTCGAGACTAGCCTGACCAACATGGTGAAACCCCGTCTCTACTAAAAATACAAAATTAGCCAGGTGTGGTGGCACATGCCTGTAATCCCAGGTACTCGGGAGGCTGAGGCAGGAGAATTGCTTGAACCTGGGAGGCAGAGCTTGCAGTGAGCCAAGATCAGGCCATTGCACTCCAGCCTGGGCAACAAGAGTGAAACTCCATCTCAAAAACAAAATGGCTCTTCCTTTGAGTGAGATGGGATGCAAAAGAGTGACACAATGTGATTGTAAAACATCTTAAAATCGCTACAATATATTTAGAATAGACTGAAGGTGGGTAAAACAAAAGCAGGGAGGCCAATGAGGAGGCTATTATCATAATCCAGGTGGGAAATGGTGGCGGTATGAACAAGGGTGGTAAATTCCATCCCCTGCATTCAACACTGTAGAAATGTGATCAAAACCATGAGGTTAGATGTTATTACCAAGCAAGTGAGCAAAGATGGAGAGAAGAGAACAGAAAAGGTGCAAGGACTGAGCCTTGGGGCATGCCACCATCAAGAGATACGGGAGATGAGGAGGAACCAGTAGGGATTTGAGCAGGAGTGGCCCACCCTCCCCAAGACAAGCCACCACTCACCAGAATTTGGTGTTTGTCATTCTCATGAATGTTTTTACACTTCAACTACAAATGGATGGGCCTCCAAAACAACGTATAGAACTGTTCTACATGATTTTCAACTTCATTCATATAGTATCATACTTGATATATTTTTCCAAGGTGTTTTTTTCTGCCCAACCTAATACTTGTGAAATTCATCCATTTTAATATATGTTGCTCATTTTTCACTGCTGTATTGTATTCCTTTGTGGGAATATGCTACATTTGATTCATCTTCCTGCAGAGGAACAGGTAGGTTATTTTGTTTTTTCTACTATTATAAATAATACTATTATGAGCATTTTCACATGGGCCTCTTTATGCCTTGGGCAAGAGTTTTCTAGGGCAGCTGTTCCCAAACTGTAGCATATATTACAATCACCTGCAGTTTTTATTGCAACAGATTTCTGAGCTCCACCACCAAAGTGTGATCAATAGATCTAAGGTGGGGCCTAAGAATTTGCATTTCTAACAAGATCCCCCATGATGCTATTACTGCAGGTTCAATGACCACATTTCAAGAATCACAGCACTAGAGCACATTCCAGGAGCACAGATGATGGTCATAGGTATGCATGCACATCTTCAGCTTTTCGAGATAGTGTCAAATTGCTCCACAAAGTGGATGAGCCAATCTATGTTTTCACCGGCAGTGAGTATGTGTCCTTATTGCCAAGGCTGGATGCTGTCAGACTTTCAATTTATGCTAATCAGATCTTAATAATTTTTAAGGCCAGGTGCAGTGGCTCATGCCTGTAATCCCAACATTTTGGAAGGCCAAGGTTGGAAGATCACTTGAAGCCAGGAGTTTGAGACCAGCCTGGCCAACATGGCAAAACCCCATCTCTACTAACAATACAATAAAATAAAAAAACTTAGTTAGCTGGGCATGGTGGTGCACACCTATAGTCCCAGCTACTAAGGAGACTGAGGCACGAGAATCACTTGAACCCAGGAGGCAGACGTTGCAGTGAGCCAGGATCACACCACTGAACTCCTGCCTGGGTGACAGAGGGAGACTCTGTCTTGAAAAAATAATAAAAATAATAAAGTTTTAAATTTATCATGGCATTTTTAATTGCATGTACCTGATACATATAAGTAGAAAACCTCAAGACATAACATACTAGCATTAATAAGAATATTTCCAAGCTTCTTTCTTACACACAGATGGTCCTCTTAAGTTCTACAACCCGCTCAGTTACCTGCTGTTTTCCCCAGCAATCCTACGAATGAACAAAATGGTGTGGCCATTATGAGAGGAAAGTGGAAGCTTGCTCCTTTTCATGACGAATTTCATTATGGTTTAATTTACTGTAGTTGATTTTTTTTAAATCAATGGTGACATAAAACTTTAAAAAAAAAACAAACTAGTAAGCTGAAGAGAGTGAGGAAAATTTAGCATATAGGTAGGAAAACAACCTTCCTTCACCAGCATACCCTGTCACTTCTGGGGGAAATACAGAATGCTTTACCCTCCATCATAGTCACGGAAGAGTTCCTTCCATTTTATACCACATTACCAAGGAGGCAAGGAGCCAGTACTCACGGATCTGGTTGGTGGATGCGCTGTAGAAGGCATTGACAGTCGTGGGATTTGTAAACCACCTGTGGAAAAAGAAACAAATGCCAGAGAGTAATCATCATTACACAGGCAGGAGGGAAGCAGAGACAAACACAGCATGGCTGGGTTTATTAGCAGATAACCATGGAACAATGGGAAGGCTGCACATGAGGGGAAATTATTCCCTCAGTTTAGGGTTACTGTACTGCTCAATGAACAATCTCATTCTAAATTGAACATGGCTCAGTGAAAATGCATTAACATACCCAGTTATTTATTGTTACTAACTTCACAGAAAAAAAGTCAGCACACCAGTGCTTTTGAAAAAGTTTTAATGAGAAATTCTAAAACCTAAAGGGCTCACCCTGCAAAAGGGAAACACAGCAATTATGTATTTTCCAGGCCCTATTCAATGAGGCGATTGGACAACTGTGTTTCTACGCTGCATCGCCTCTCACCTGTCCATCAAAAAGTTTTGGATTGGTGACAACACAGAGGTCCATTTAAAGAAAGATGAATAAAGTCCAACTATGCTACCCAGAGGGTCTGCCTCCTCCAGTGGAAAGTGTACTGCCTCTATCACTAACTAGCTGAGTTGTGTGGGAAGAGTCATCTACCTTCCTGGGGTTTGGTTTTAGCTATAAAATTAAGGCACTGCATTAGGACATCTTACGGATATTTTCTATCTAACAGGAGTCTACATCCAAATCTTAAATGCACAATAGTTTACTTGGATCAGCAGTCAGCAAATTTTTCTCTGTAAAGAGTAAGATCATAAATATTTCAGGCTTTGCAGGTAAAGAGGTAAAATCAAGGATATTATATAGGTACTTAAGAGCAAAGTGTCCATTAATTTTATTGATGAAATTTTAAAAATATAATTGTGATCAAGTCCAATCATTTCTCTTTTTTTTTTTCTTTTAGAGACAGGGTTTCGGTATGTTGGCCAGGCTGGTCCCGAACTCCTGACCTCAAGTGATCCACCCACCTCGGCCTCCCAAAGTTCTGGGATTACAGCCGTGAGCCACTGCACCCAGCTGAGTACAGTGATTTCTAATACAGGCCTATTAATGAGAATAATGAAATTATTTTGGGGTGAGATAACATTTTGCTTAATTGGGGTTCAAAATTATGCTTCTCCAATTTGGATGTTCCTCTAAAAACTAAAACTAGAGCTACCATATGATCCAGAATCCCACTGCTGGGTATATACCCAAAGGGAAGAAAATAATTAAAGAGATATCTGCATTCCCATGTTTGTTGCAACACTGGTCACAATAGCCAAGATGTGGAGGCAACCTAAGTGTCCATCAACAGATGAATAAAGACAATGTGGTACTTATACACAATGCAGTACTCTTCGCCATAAAAAGAATGAGGTTCTGTCATTTGCAACAACATGGATGGAACTAGAGGTCATTCTGTTAAGTGAAATAAGCCAGGCACAGAAAAACAAACATTGCATGTTCTCACATATTTGTGGGATCTAAAAATCAAAACAATTGAACTCATGGAGGTAGAGTAGAAGGATGGTTACCAGAGGCTTGGAAGGGCAGTAGGGGAATGGGGGAGAAGAGGGAATGGGAAATGGGTACAAAAAATATATAGTTAGAAAGAATGAATAAGACCTAGTATTTGATAGCACAACAGGGTGACTATAGTCAATAATTAAATTGTACATTTTGAAATAACTAAAATACTGTAAGTGGGTTGTTTGTAACACAAAGGACAAATGCTTGACAGGATGGATGCTCCCATCTTCCATGATGTAATGATTATGCAGGCCTGAATCAAAATATTTCATGTACCCCATAAATATTTACAACTACGTACCCACAAAAATTATTTTAATTAAAAAACAAAAACAAAAAACAAAACGAAGTTAGTGCTTCACCATCATCAAACCAACTGCAAACATTTATCCCTAAAACTCATTCTTAGTTCATGGCCCATATAAAAACAGGCAGCAGGTGACATTGAGCCCACAGGCCATTGTGGCCAACCCCTGACTACTTAGATGGTTGTGAGTTTCAGTAACTGCTTGTTATGAATAAAATCAAGCAATTCATCTTAAGCGAACCTGCTAAAAATAAACTCTTAAGTCCAGCAGTGGCACACAAATATAGTTCCAGCTACTTGGGAGGCTGAGGCAAGAGGACTGTCTGAGCCCAGAAGTTCGAGTCCAACCTGGGCAACATAGTGAGACTCTGTCTCAAAAAAAAAAAAAAAAGGAAAGAAAGAAAAACAAACTTGTATAAATCCCTTTCTAGAACAATTGCTTTACTCATTTATGTCTAACAGGGTAATTATGTCAGACTAACAAATTAATTTATATCAGGTTAATATGAAACTGATAGGAAACGCAATTGTTAATACTAGTTGGTAAACTCATACCTTCTCCCCAACCATAAAGAAGTCTATGAATATGTCATTCTGTTATCATCATTAGTATTAACTAACACTCATTGAGCACTTACTATATACTAAGCACATTCTATTCATCACTTTTTCCCCACAGCAACATTGGAATTATAAGCCCATTTCACAGATGAGGATAATGAGACTTAGGAGCATTATGTACTTGTACAAGGTCTGGTCTGCCTAACTTTAAACTAGTTCTCCTAAGCATTATATTATACTGACATTATTACTGGAAATCAAGAAAGAGCACCTCCTGTCTTTTCAAAACTGAAACCTAGACATATTTACATAAAATGCATATTCTTTTCCTTCAAATTTAGGGTATTTCAATGAAACCCCAGTGTTTAACATAAACTTGCTGGTTGGCCTAGTTTCCTGAGGAAACAAGTGAGGGGAAAGCACCTCTATTGACCTAACTTTGCTGCCTGTAGTAGGTAGAATGATGGCTAAGTCCTAATCCCTGGATCCTATGAATATGTTACATTACATAGTAAGAAGGACTTTGCAGGTATGATTAAGCTTAAGGACCTTAAAATAGAGAGATTATCCTGGAATATTCAGGTAGGCTCAATCTAATCACAAGCTCTTCAAAGCAGACAACCTTGTTTGGCTGGAATCAGAGAGATGCAACAGAGGAGGAAGTCGGAGCAGATACTGCAGAGCAGGAAGTCAGGGCAAGTCCAGGGTGAGAAGGATTTGACATGCTGCTGGTTCTAAGATGCAGGTGCAATGTGTGAAGACTGGATAAAGGCCTCTGAGAGCAAAGACTGGCCTCCAGGCGACAGACAGCGAGGAAGTAAAGACCTTAGCCCTACAACCAGAGAGAACTGGATTCTGCCAACAACCTGAATTCTCTTGGAAGGGGATTCTTCCCAGAGTCTCCCCATAAAAGCCCAGCCAGCTGACACTCTAATTTTAGCCTTATGAAAACCAAAGCAGAGAAAACACCAAGCTATCCTTGATTTCTGACATACAGAACTGTGAGACAATAAATCTGTGTTGTTTTAAGCTGCTAAGTTTGTAGGAGTTTGTTACATAGCAACAAGAAACTAGTATACTACCCAAAGAACCCAAAATTTGTAGGTCAAGAGGGGAAAATCCAGGTGCCTTGGCTACTAAATAACATTGGACTTAATCATAACATATACAAAAGATAATGTGTATTCCTGGAGCTTGCCCCTTCTCTTTCTGTCCTTCCCAACTCCCCTCTCTTTAAAATAACAAACTTTTAAAACATTCAGGTAAGGGCCATGCAGGGAAAAGGTTCCTAACTGCTGGTAGACAAAGGTAGACAAATCAAACCAATCAAACAACCAATCTCTGAAACTAGACCTTAATGGGGCTTCTGAAGCTTCAGCAAGAATAACTAAAACATCTTATTTCAGACACATGATCTTACCATTCCTGACCTCCTAGGGCTCTTACTGACTGTAGGGCATGTTTGGAGCCTTAATAATACCCAGCGCTAATATGAAGCAGCTGCACCAGTAGATCCCACCAGTTGTTGATGCTGTTATTTCTTCTCTTTGCTCAGGGCCCATGCCAAAACAGCTGTTAAACATTTTGTGTATCTCCCTTATTACATCCAAGCTTATTATATATTTAGTTTTACCATTCTCTAATGTAAGGCTACATGTGCTAGTTTTAATATGTGTTTGCAAACTTTTTTACACTCCTCCCATTAGGAGACGGAATCTAAATTCCTCTCCCCCGATTATGGGTTAGCCTGAACAACTCACTTCTAAAGAATAACATGCAGCAGAAATGATGATGTGACTTCCAAGGCTAGGTAATTAAATGTGATACAACCTCCCCCTGATGCATAAAAGCACACCCTTTCTCCCTCCCTCTCTCTTTCTCAGGAAAGCTGCTCTTTGAAGTTTCTTTATCAATCAACATGCTGTAAAAAAAACCCAACACACATGAAGAGGACGTATGTAGATATTCTAGTCAACAGTATCAACTACTAGACATGTAAGAGAGGTAGTCTTCCATATGACTCCAGCCTCAGCCACTATCTGACTGTAACTATATGAAAGACTACAAATGGCCAGGTGCAGTGGCTCATACCTGTAATCCCAGCATTCTGGGAGGCTGAGGTGGGCAGATCACTTGAAGTCAGGAGTTCAAAACCAGCCTGGTCAATAGGGTGAAACTCCATCTCTACTAAAACTACAAAAATTAGCCAAGTGTGGTGGTGGGCACCTATAATCTCAGCTACTAAGGAGGCTGAGATAGGAGAATCTCTTGAACCTGGAAGATGGAGGTTGCAGTGAGCAGAGATCATGCCAATGCACTCCAGCCTATGTGACAGCACGACTCTGTCTCAAAAAAAAGAAAGAAAAGAAAGACCCCACACAAGAACCATGCAACTGAGCCTGGTGACCCCCAGAACAATGAGAGATAAAAATAAATAATTACTGTTGTTTCAGTACTCTAAATTTGGGGGAAGTTTGTCACACAGCAATAGAAAAATGGAATGCTGAAAAGCTGGCTATCCACAGACTAAGTCCAACCCAATAGGCTGAATCTTCCCAGGAAACTGTTTTGCTTGCCCAACACAATGGCTTAACAAATTATAGAATTGGAATTCCTTCAAGTGGTGTGTGTCGTTAGTTTTCCA